TAGCGAATTGACATTTCGGCTACTTTTTTCTGACATCGACTCCAAGGTAGGTCCACGAGGACAGCAGAGGCGGGCAATCTGCCAAAACGTCACTGACATGTTTCAATTAAGGCCTTTTTGTCCTGTCAGGATGCCCTGGCAAACATATCTGTCTCCCAACATTTACTTCATGGAATAAGCCGTGCAAATAAAAAAAACGGAGATCCACTGATTATTTCGTAACTTATTTGCTGATAAATTATGAATGAAGGACGGTCGATGACCGACGTGTTTGTTATCAATCACCACAGGCAGTTCACACGCGTTAAAACAATGTTTTTGCATACGTTTAGGCTATGCGAGATAGAGATCTAAAATGACAATGACTGATTTTAAATCAAACGCCTGAAATAAATTTTACGAAAATGAAATGGAGAGCGCACTGAAAAGCAAGTACGCTCATCTTATACTATCAGCCTGCATGATCAAAACTTTAAATTGCATGAATTGCATCTCCCAATCGAGGTTTTATCGTTATATACCCAACAGTAGAAGCTGAAGTTAAAAGTCGTGAGAAAATCTGACTACGGTTTTTTTTGAAGTCAAACGAAATAGCAACTCTTATCAAAATTCGTTAGAGTGCTTATTTCTTACAACAAATTAATATGATTTTCAATAAATACCAGAAGACGTGGACATTTTCCATGGTTTGAATAGGTATGTTTAGCTTAAAAAATCTTAGCCATTTTCTAAATAATTTTCGTTAGTTTATAACCGAAGACGAGAATCGCAAAACCGAACCTGATTGTTAAGCAAGAAAACACACACAGATTCTATATGTGGCAGAGAATCCAAAAAGGATTTATTTATTACGGCATCCCGTGCATTTTTTCCGTAATTTTATCGCGGCATGTGGCACAGCTTTTAATGGAAGCAAAAATAAAAATGGAGAGCCGTGAGACTCGTTCCTAGGAACATCGCGATTCCGCAAAAACTTGATACATTTTTATGCTCAACTCTAGTTCGACCTTTCCAACAATTTGGCTAAAAGACCATGACAAGATAAAAATAATTTATGATAGCAATATAATTTTGAATATTAGATTAGACGAGTGTAAGAGAAAAAATGGTAAATCGAAGAGGGAATGCTACAAAAATTAGGAATATGATAAATTAATAATTAAATCCGTAAGCAATTGGACATCCTCAATCAACAAATTGGAAACAAAAAATGCATATTATATTAAAGCTATGAGGATTAAATGTTACACGTATAGGATGTTAAAATCGATACAATTTTTATTAAAACTGCTATGAAGATTTACTTTTATAGTCTGTGGATGGAATATTTGGCGCCAATATTTGGCGCGCTAATAGCAGCAAAAAGTTGCAAATTCTCTCGCGCAGCGACAATCTAATTGCAGATAAATTAGTGTTTTATTGGATGTTTAACTGCAAAAAGATATCATGCCCTAAACATTAATTGTACTTATAAATAAAACCGACGAAGTGTTGAATGCGTTTAAATTCATCTGGTCCATTATAACACGAAATACAAAATCTTGTTATTCGAATCAAATACAATATCCAAAAATGAAATATCAAACCATTAAACTTAAACACTACCAAGAAGAAAGAATTATAAAGAAATGATGATCACATTAAAATATGTATGAATGATAGATAAAAAATACATAGGTTAATTTGGCACTAAAATAATATAAATAACTCGAAAGATTTGTAATTTAAAATGACCGTTAATCCGAAACCTATCCATATTACCATTTATAAGCTATAAAACATTTATAGAGGCGATTATGATTTGGAGCTAAAGTGCGCTGAAGCTAACGGTAGGCTTTAATTTGGAAAGAAATATTACAATTCTAATGACAATTCAAAATGTTTTTATACAAAATGGTTTCTGGTTCTTGCTGAAAGCTACATTTGGGTGCAAGTATTAGGCAACAATCAACAAATAGAAGATCGACTATATGAAAAGTGTATTCTGTAATGCGTTAGTTTATTACTCTTGTTTTTCAAGTATTCATGTTATTGGCGTGATAAAAGTAAAGAATTTTGAATTATAAGTATTTTAAGAGGGTAATTTTGGATTGTTTGGTTAATTGATGAAATTAACTCCTATTTGATTATTAAAAGAAAAAAAAAACAGATATTTTCAGGAGTTGTTTTCAGAAATGTATTTTTCTGGAAAAGAAAAATGTCCTTGGTATACTTGGAGTGTAAATAGCGCTAGCTCCATCATTACCATCGACCATGGTGGGTCCTATGGTGCGATGCATTCTCGCCACACTCGCACACACACAGCAATTTGTCCGAGGTGCGAACCGCGTTACCGCCTGCCGCCAAGTGATGGGACTTATCACATCAACCCAACTCCATTTAGTTTGTCATCCTTTTGCAAACTAAAATGTCAGCCACTGTATGACCGGTTTGACTGTTTGTCAATTCGAGAGTCCTGTTCTTTTGTTCTTTGTTAACATATTGCTTTTGATATGTTTACACATATTAGCCTCGTAGGTCTAAAGACTAAAGACAAAAAAAAGATAAAATAACGCGAACAAATATGCATAAAGAAGGCAGGATCTATAACAATATTACACATTGTATGTGTATTGCGTTTTAATTTAATTTTAGAACTTCGGTCCGGTGTCATGTCCTTGGCCCTTTCATTACGAATTACAATAGGATCCATAACACGCATCCTTAAGATCTATAAAAATCTAGATTCAATTATCATTATGGTACCTACTTAATGGTATGGTACCTACTTAATGGTAACACAGTAATTAAAAAATAACTTTACTCTTCGAAAACTTATCATCTGGGTCGGGTTTAATTAAAATTAAAAACTTCACAATGTAGAAAGCAATTAACAAATTAAACGTAGTGTATCACTACACTTTAACCACTTTTAATTGATCCGCCCTGCAATTAACTGCCTTCTCTCATTAATTTTGCCACTTGCTTTTAATTGTTAAACGAGATAAGTGATTTAAACATGAAATCTCGGAGAAAGTATACCTAAATATTAATTAAAATTCAGCACTTACCTTTGAGTGCTAAGTCCAGAAAATGACAATTTGCAACGCACAAATTTTTCACGCACGTGGTGCTGGCACAACAATACGAAATCACGGTTTCGAAAAAAAATAAAAACTATTCTAAATTCGAAAGGCGCGCGTAACCGCAGAAATGTGTCAGTGGCGCGTCGCGGCGTCGACCTAGGTGCTGTGCGTGCGTCGAATAGCGATGCGGGATCGGACCCGATCCGATTTTTCGAAAATATTTTGAGAGCGGTAGTGCCGCAACGATGGCGAAGTTTTGAATGGCGCGACGCGCGGTACCTCCGAGACTGGCCAGCAGCCGCAGGACATCGACTTTATAAATTGACTTTGCCCATCGACGTAACTGTACATGGATTTTGGTAGTTTCGGTGCCATACTTGTGACGATGCATGATAGCTGAGCATTAGATGAAAAGCGTGTTAATTATTTACCTAATAACAAGAATATTGGAATACCTAAAGCGCTTAAATGTCCGCGTTCTAACTAGCTCTACCAGTTTTTTAGAATTTATGGTATTCTTTTGTTGGACACGAAACTTTCCTAACGCTCATTTCCATATTTTATGAGTATTTTATAGGCACCTCAATTGCGCGTTACTGAATTTAAGCCCAGTGCATAATGTTTAAATTAAACTGGGTACGATAAACACTTCTTCACTCCGTCTGCTCCGAGCGTCGCATACAAAACGTTCGGGACAGGGGTAACTCTGCGAATGAGAGGGACTTGGCGCGTGTGCGAATCTTCCCTGCACCAAAGATTAAATGTAAAGGACGGGTGCAGAATAGCCACAACGTAATATTTAAGGAACATTTCATGCCTAACAGTAGGTAAGCGCACAGAGCACGATTGCATCTAGATGCAGTTGCAGTCTAACTATCAATTTAATGGAAGAAGCAACTGCCCCTTGTAAAAGTAAATCAATGTGCATTGGAGAAGAAAAGGCAGGGCGATTTCTTTTAAAATTAGTAATCATAAATGGTGCAACAGTGTTTCAAAATCCAAACTTCTTTCATTTATTTTGTAAACTCTTTAATATTGGGCCCACTCATATTGTAAACTTCAAAAATTAGCATTTACATTAACAGCCAGGCAGGTGTTTGTTAATGTTAAAATAACATTTAAATAATCGGACACTGTCATACAATTCTGTCCCCAAAAACCCCTACTGCGCATTATTGGAATCCAATCAGCATTGGAGTCAAAAACGGTAGTTTTAAATAATAAATAATAAACGATCGTTAGTAGCGTCATAAAATCCAATTTTAATAATAAGGACCTTTAATCTTTACAACTTTATCAACGGCTTAAACATATCCTCGAGACAGGAAAAAAACTGGTCGACACCCGATTTTCGTGCACATTAAGTCTCATCCATATTATTATAATCAATTTATTAAACGATGCCTTTCCCAAACGCCCTCTGAAACGTCTCATGTCGCACAAAAACAGCTCATTATAAAATTTCTTTACAAAATTACGCGTAAGGACGAGCCAAATTGAATTCTTCCGTAATCGTAAAGACCGAACGGAGACCATAAATATTGTTAAATAAATCGCTCAAAATGTTTTAAAGAAGTCAAAGTACCGCATTGCACAGAAAAAGAAAAAAATCACAGCTTCAGGAGTCACACTCAGTGTAAAACGAACAGCTCATGGCCTCACCCCGTTACCTTAGTGGAGGGAGCAGGCCCTATTCGAAGGGCTAAGAGTTCTCTAAGTAAATAGGTACAAAACTCTACGCTGAATGGTCTTCTATAAAAGTATGAGTCGTAATGTAAGTAGGTATATTACCTAATGGAACTGATACACCAATGAACAATCTACCAGGAATAAACCTATCATGGAAACATTCGATTCGTGAACGAACATGGAATGATTTGTACCTTGACAAAAAAGATCTTATTATGAAAATGAAGTAGAAAGGTACTTACCTACTGTAGTACTGATGGACAGTCTGTTTTCCTTGACCTTTTGCAATGTGTACAGTCGACAAAAAACTGTTCAAATATGCACGTTATTTGGGCACGTGAAAATTTATTTGACAGGCTATACAGGGTCCTCTTCTGGCCTCACATAAGGAATCTTGCAGGAATTCACCTGAAATAATAATAATAATGTGTAGTAACCTACATAATTTGACGATATACGAAGTGTGAAAATTGTGTATCCGATCCGAAAGGGGTGATTCTGGTGCTCAAGTACAACAAAATTTTATACAATATCAAAAACTCAAAAAATAAATTCACTCCAACAATAGAAACTAACAATTAGTATAAACAAGATTATTTTCCGAGCATCAGAATCACTCTAGGATCAGACATTTCTTTTTTCATACTTACATTTTGCCACCATATAACGTACGTGACGCTCCAAAATACACGCAAAATTCTTCATTATTTTTGTCAGTGACTTGTAGCAATTACTTGATGAAAGCGCTCTTTACTTCGAAAACTAGACGGCGTTTACTCAATACTCGATCATTTATTACATTTGAGTAGATTACGTTGTCTATTGAATAGGGCGGGGCTCCTAGGGAAATATTTCTTTGAAGCATCCCAAAGCCACTTCTTGTAATTGAATTATTATGGCACGTTACGTGTTTTAAGCATAGGCATATAACACCTGGCTTGCTCTGCGCTGTAAAACACGTCATGGTCTATGACCTTAATCTGCCTCAGGCTCCTGGCAGAATATTTTTTGAAGCACCCCATAGCCTATGGTATAGGGCAACAATCAAAATGTCTTGAAAAACACTCCGAGTCACCAGTCACTTCTTGTAAGTGAAGGTATTTTTGCCCAGTTATCTTCTTCGTTGATACTTTATGCTATCTGTGTGGTATAACCGCACCCTCGGCATAGTGTGGGCGTGACAATGGACGACTTGTGTCAGCCACTTTTTGTTATGTTCATCAGTTTATTCAACCAGCCAAATGATGTAATAAGCAAGGGTACATTCCGATGGGATAGTATAAAATCATCTGTAATAGTTAATGACTAATAAATAAAAGATGCACCCGCAAATATCTATGTGAAGCCTGCGTGCGTACGTCACCTATGTTCTTCTGATTAATATCGTTGCGGGTCCAATGACAGTTCAATTTTCACCCGGGACAATCTTGACCTTCACTGGTTGGGTTTTTATTGGCGGTCAAGCTGTAGATCCTGGCTACACAGGAGTTGCAGCGGTGGAAATAGTCCCGTACGTCAGTTGTTTTTTTGCAGGTATAATAATATATTCTTCCTATTGTTTATCTGCTGTACTCTATTGTTAATAAACTTTTTACACAATATAATAATAGAACAGCGCAAGACCGGTCGTTGTGGAAATCCTTAGGGGATGGCCTTTGTCCAGCAGTGGACATGAATCATGTCAAAAGCCAAATCATGTCACATGATTTGGCTGAAACGAACGAACAATAATAATAAAAGTGTCTTCGACACAAAACCATAGATCATTGGTTCTCAAACTTATTTGAGACGCGCCCCCTTTTGACCATACAAACAATTCCACGCCCCCCCTCCTCCAGTCAAGATTATTTATCGGTCGTATCGAGCAGTCTGGAATGCATTCTCTCAGCGGGCGCAGGTTTTTATACTTAAGTACACAGATGGCCCGCGCCCCCCTTTAAAGGTCTTTGCACCTCCCCTGGGGGGCGCGCCCCCCACTTTGGGCACCAATGCCATAGATGCATAGTAGGATGTTTCATGACGTTTATAATATTTCAACAGATACCGCAATGTTGCATTAAATAAAGTAATGCGTAAACAAACTAGTCATAAAAACATCGTCACAAAATTCATATTTTCAAGTCATTTTGACAACACAAAAATATTTATCAGAATATCATAATAAAGTTAATTACGTGCTACTGACCTACTCTACTAAAACTATTGTCACAAGTGTTTAGTTAATTACCAGCTACATTTAATGATTTCATGGAATTTGGGGGAGTGATCGATTAAGAGACCTACCTTAATAATTACTCAGATGGAGTAATATTGAGTCATCACACTTGTTATTAAGTTGACCCAAATATTTAAGACAAACAATTTCTTATACTGTCATACAATGAAAAGACTATTGTTTGAATATCCCGAGCTTTTCGTTTATCTGGTATAATCCAAACCCAAGTAAAAGGTAGGCAATTTAATGCCCAGTTGGCTTGGCTCCGTACTTACCAACTCAGATTTTTACACCACACGATTTTGATGTATGTGTTACAGTCTTACAGTCAAACCTCATAATCGGTCAAAACCACTTTTGACAGCAAAAATCAGTCAAAAGAGGTTTTGACTGATGCTTTTGGTCAATATCACTCTTGACTGATTTTTCCAATAATTTTTGCTGTCAAAGGTGGTTTTGACCGATTGTGAGTTTTGGCTGTAACATAAATGTAACCTGGCGGTATAAGTGCTGAAACTTCTTTTCTATAGGAGTCCTTGTCAAAGCGGGCGTCGGGTATTTATTATGATCACTGATAAGACAATGCCAAAATAAAACAAGAAATCGTCATAATCCATTATATTGTAATTAAAAGATCTTTTCTCAATATCATCTATCTGTAAAAACAATCCACATATTCATATGTACAGTTGTCACAACACATTTACACCACAGTATAATCACAATTATAAAATATACTATGAAACAAGTCGCCAACTCATTCATTTGCTACATACAGAACATTTGATCAGTATGTTACATATTTACATTTAAAAATACTGTATCGTCACGAATGTTCAATTTCGTCGATAGACTTGGCTCTTTTATTTGATTTCATTCGATTGTAAGACTATAGTTATAAATTAAGTAGGAACAACATATAATTTTCAATATATTAATGCAACATTCTAAAGATTCATTCACATTTCAATTGTTTTTATTTTACAGCGTGTAGCGCCATCTATCTCGCACTAATCAAAGCTTGCACAATGAGAACCAGACAAAACGGTAATAATATACTTGCAATACTTTTAAAAATATATAGGTAGGACATATAAATCCACGTACAGATCACCCAACCCAAAACGAACAATATAAGTTGTGACGATCGGACTGGGGACCTCTGGCGTAGTAATAGGATCATCATATCAAAATGTGCATGAGCCTCTAGAATTTACAACTCTTCTAGGAATGTTGATATACAATAGACTTTATGTGTTACAAGAATTATACTAGATAATTAGTTTCGGTATATTTTTTTATCATGGTGTGATTTAATCATTTTTAAACCTGTGCAATAAGAGTCTCTATATGAACAAGCATTTTTGTTTTGTTTCGCTTTTCAGTCTTGCTTTTCCTAGATCCTGATTTAGCTGAGCTTCAACTTTCATGAAATGCATAAATAACGAAATGTGCATCGTTCTGTCAAATATACATCATCAGAGAGCATATAATATTTGTGCCCACGTCAGAATCAGCCATTGCTTGTCAAACTTTTTCAAAGCACCCCAACTCTCAGCTTTTCTTCATAATGAAACAACATTTTGCTTGGATACCGTCTTCATTCAATGGAAATTGAGACCTCGGTTCATGCCATGAAGTCGTGAATTTAACACTACTTCAACGAGTAAACCTTAAAATGAAAAGAAGGTTGGATTTACGCTTCAAAAGACCGAAAACTCCAAGCTTCAAAATTTTAACGACTTATTTATTTATAAGATGTAAACTTTCACGTTCCATTTCTTATTTATTTCATCAAAAATTCATGACAACAATAAACTGGAAATGTAATTGAACAATTAATTCATGACAAAAATTACGTATTCAACCACAAATGCATTAAAATAATTTGTCAAGAAAGTGTCATAAAAAATATTACTACATACTCTACAGAAGTAACAATTTGTTTATTAGAAAATAAATCTCTTTAAAAATCGCAATAGTGATAAAACTTCAGACTGATAAAGAATTAGCCATCAATGTATAATCACAATTTCACGAATATATTTTGTAAATCATCAAAACAAAAAGAGCCTCGTCAAACTTGATTGAACAATACACATTTGACCACGACAATAAGAGCGCTGAGCATACGTCACCGATTCTGACTAAAATGACACTTTATGGAAAAAGAAATGTACCTTTTTCAGCTGCTCAAAAGGTCGACTGTTCAACATTAACCTTCCATTGACTTTAAGCGAGAACGCCATAGTGCAAAAAATCATCAATCCAATACTTCAAAACTTCATTTTGTTAACCAATAAATATTGAACCTGTTAACCAATATTATCGTTTATGACAATAACTTGAATAAATGGGTGGAGTTACATTTCTAATAAGTGCCTTTAGACTTAGCAATAACGCATTAAAGCTGTCATTATCGTGGTCAAATAAAATCCAGGTGAAAACACCATGGCAAAGATCAGTGACTTCATAAATAAACCTACGTACGCACACTCCATAAATCACCTCAATAAGCTCCGAAGACACATACATATTGCATTGTATCCTTGGGATACACTAAGTCGCCTGTGGTATACAGGATGGTACGTTCGGCACACAGATCTTTAAGATCCTGTGTATTTAAGACATCGCTTCTCGACAAGTAGCAACCCCCATGCAGGGTAAATATGATAAATTATAGCCCAATTATTCGAAATACTACTGATACTACGTGTGCGGTGCGTCAAATACTGGTGACTCAGTACGTCTAAGATGCGCGCCATGATATACGTTTATCGCGCTATTTTATCGATTTTACGCAGTAAGCATATACATTTGGCGTCTAAAATCATGGATAAGATTTTATCACGGCGCGCATCCTAGCCCATCTAGTTTCACCAATATTGTTTTTTGTAACACATTATGTTAGGTCATGATAGGCCATAACGTGTCATTCTACATAATAATTTAATACAGTCCAACATCTAACTACAAAAACAAAAATTTACCTTGCTCCTTGGGGGTTGGGACTACAAGTTTGAGAACCGATGCCTTGATACCGCGTCATTGCCCGCTCGCTAGCGTTTCTACGTACACGTCACACACACTGCGCCCGAGTCTATGAGGCGCGCCGCTTTATCGTCACTTTGCCGCGCGCTAACTGCGATATGTATATCCGAAAGCGCTCCATGTTTGGCCGCTT